TAATATTTTTTATGTATTTTTTGTTTGTTTTGTCACTTACACGTTCATCTACAAGAGCTTTCTCTTGGACACTTCCTAGTTCTGGCTTTCTTGCTGTGTATCTCTTTTACCCTATTTGTCTTAAAGTGAAAAGGGAGATGCTTTACATTTGTGCAGGATGATGAATCACTGTGCAATTTAGAGTGTGTTACCACTTGTGTTCATTTCTTTACCATATTAAAGAAGAAACCTTATTCTCCATTGTGTCTTTTCCTCTGAAGCCTTGTGCAAAGTGCACAAAAAATTATCATTAGTAAAGTTCTGGAGTATAACAATAATTCTAACGTGCTTGGGACTCCTCATGTGGATTGTACCTGAGAAAAGAATTGCATTCATGGGTCTAGCTCAGTGTGGATGTCACATTTTCTGAACGTTGCTATGCTGTCCTGGGCATACTACACTATCATACATATATTGTCTGCTTGCAACTTTCTAACCTTGCTGATAATTATAGCTACTTGCTACTGAGTCACTGTACCATGTATATAGCTGATATTAGGTTGTATACTTAAGTGCAATACCCACCCACTTCTGGATTGGGATAGCAGCCATAAAGTAGGTGTACTCTTGCTTCAGAGCTCATACTACACCTTTGCACAGTAATATGTAGATGGTCTTTGAACTCCTGAAATTAGGACACACTACCAGTTGTTAATGATGAAACCACCCAAGACCACCACGACACCACCAACACACTTCAGTGTGGAATCAAAAGACTGATTTACTTGTGTTCAGTACAAACAGCAGTGTCTCTCCAATAAGAGGTGTATTGCTGGTACCACTGTGTAGATAATATCTCTTTCTGTGTGATCCTCAGTGAAATTTCCAACATTCTGTTTCCCTTTCAGAGCATAAGAAGTCATGAATAGTTGCAACACAGTGGTCCAAAACCACCAGTGTGGGTGGCAGAGGAGAACAGTTCATATCATATGGGTTATGGCATTTGCATAGCAAGTCACAGGACAAATATTTGAAAGTCCTTGCCAGAAAACTTAAAATGAATTTTCCTCCAAGGTGGTGTGCTGGCAGATACAATGACAGGGACACCTGGGACACTCTGAAACAACTGTCAGGCCTGAGCTATGGCTGCTATTCACCTTCCATGTGCCCCAGAGAGGACAGCCTGGGCATCTACCCAACACACCAGTGCAGGCATTGTCCTGGTGCCTTCCCTGAAGCATGAGAGTCCATGGAGACGAAGTTGGTATGATCTTAAATTAAGACTGGAATATGTCATAATAATTGACTACTCTACTCCCCTTTGCATATCTCTTGTCATCTCTCTGGACAGGTCAAATTAGGTCCTGCTGACCCCTGGGAAAAGGATGAGAGAGGGTTCCCCAGCCAGCTACAGTGGTACAAAATGATGTCGCATGTAGAGACATCTATAGCACTGCATTAGCAGTTGGTTGGCGTTATCTTGGGCCAGTATGTAAATGGTTGCTAGGTGCATTTAGGGTGACAGGTAATCCTGTGTTTGATGCTCTCTGGCAGTGTCAGAGTTGAGACCCTGGGGCAGAGAGACTGCCTAGACGCGCTCCCTTTAGGTGCCCTGCAGCTGTAATGTGGAGTTGGAGCACCCTGGGAATCCCTTGGGTCGCCCTGGCTGCTGGGGTCCTGTGGATTATTGCACTACGGGAGCCTGCACTCACAGGGGTATCAGTCAGACTGTTTCCATGGTATCTTTTACATCCAAAGCCAAGACAACATGAACCGTCTGAGCATTTGCCCTGAAGTGAGCTGTTGCAGGGTCCTACAGAGACAGCTATAAACCCTTTGATCATCCTGCTGCAACTGCTGAAGTGCCACGCTGAGATGCCCCCCTCTAAATTCCCCCTGCCTGCTCTGTTTCCTGTCACCTCTGCAAGGAGAAGCAGCACCAGCCCTCTAGATTCCTGCACCAGGATGCTGTTCTCCACTGACGGAAGCTTGGCAGTGATTTCAATGCATCCAGACGTCTACGCAGGGTCTCCCATTGTGCTTGGTCCTGTTATCAGGGACATAAAAGGAAGGAGGCACTTCTTACATTCCCCTACGTGACCCAAAGCAAAAGTTCCATGTGTGGATTTTTTTGTTCTTTTGGGGAGAAAGGAATGTAGGTGGGTCTAGTAAAATAAATTGCAGGACTTTTTGTTTTGATTAAAGCTATTGTGTAACAACTGCTTGTATTTTCTGTAGTCACATTCCTACAGCTACACTCACAATAGAAGGCAGCTTATTTTCAAAATGAGAGGAAGACTTGACAAAAGGTTACAATTAAGAAAGAAAAGCTAACAACATTGATAAAATATGCCCTTATTATAAAATTATTAGCCCTAATCCATACTTCAGACAGCTATAAACCTGGTTTTGGTTTCCAGCTGCAGGCTAAAAATTGTTACAATGATAATGAGCTTTCTCAAATGCAATGCATGGTGATAGAAAACCAATCCAAATATAAATAAGAAAAATATTTTTCTTAAATGAAAGAGGTATTTTTTTCTCCAGAGAAATGCCACATTCATGTTTAAAGCATAAAATAGAGTAAAGGAATAGACAGCAGTATTTAAAACATGCAGATGAGCTCCAGAAGGCATTAGCATAGCTGGCTGCAAAGAAGATATTATTTATCTTAGGAGTCACTGGGTAATGTGTAACATATACAGAAAAGAGAGGTACAAGGTCAGCTCTCATGCTTAGAAGTGATGGTAGTTTGGAATTGGAAATATTTTTTATGAGGCGTTCTGCCACTTAACTTCCAGGAAAAAATACTGTGGCAAATGAATTTTTTCAACCTTTCCTTTTCTCTCTAATTTTCTGTGTAGGAAAGCAAGATATTTTCTATATTTTTATCTTGAGAGTTCCTGAAAACTAAGAATAGATGAAAGGGAGACATGCTAACCAGCTTCTTCCAGAAAAATTCCTATATCTACAGATTCATGTATTTTAGGGTTTCAAAGGAACATTGTGATTATCTAGTCAGAACTGCCTGAGAGGCTGTAAAACCACACCGAGTAATCTCTCCATCTCTACATCTGTTTGAGTAATTGCATACCTCTTAGAGAGATACCTAGTCATGATTTAAGGTCTGCAAGTGATGAAGTTCTGCAGTCCTTACTCAGGATTTGACTCAGTGAAAACACTGGCATATTATGCTCACTGTCAGTTAGGTTTGAAGGAACAGAAAGAAATTTAACTTGCTTTAAAACAGTTCTGTTTCAAATCTGTATGAACAAACTCTGCAGAACTTAAAACAAACTGAAAGAGAATGCATAATAAGAACACTTGTGCACAGCCTTCCCTTTTGTAAGGACACAAAAACATATTCTTTTTCTTGGAATTTTTAAAGAACATTGACTGAAAAGATGAATTCTGCAGGTGGATCTCTTTGGTTTTAAACTTTTTTACTTTTCTATTTTAGTGATCTCTAGGAAGAGTTTCCAGCCCTCTGTATGACATATTGTTCCTAATATACATTCTAACCTTTTTTTACCTTCAGTATCTTTTTAAAGACACCAATGTAAAGAGATTTACAGTAGAGGCACTAACTGTAAGTAGTGAGATAAGTTCTCTCACAAGTGCCATAGGATTTCAAACTTCCATAAACTAATGAGACTTCAGGTGTTTGGATTTGACGCCAGAGCAAAATAATGACTGAACTGCTCACTTACTGACAAACACCACAGAAGCATAAGAGCTCTGTTGCAGAAATAAAGACTAACTGGCATTCTGATCAACATATCTGTACCTGTGGTGGGAGCTGTATAAATATATTTGGTTGTTAATGTGACCAAGCTACCTGAAAAATACATATAGACAAAAGATAGCATTTTCTGAACAGATGTGGATACAATGTGTTCACAGATCATGTCAGGATGTGAACCTATGCTGATATGCAACTTTAAAGTACACAGTGCCAGAAATTACTTTCCCTATTTCAGACATATTAATAAATAGTAGAAAAATATTTCAGAATATAATATTATCAAAACATGCTCGTATTGGTAATCTTGTTTTTTGTGGTAGTGAACATTAGGTCTACATAAACATTCAAACTATGGTAGCTCTTCTCTTTGAAATAACAAATGTTTCCAATATTCATTCACACCATCTGATACAAGAATAGATTTTGCTTACGTCCAATGATGCCCTGCTATTGCTTGAATTGACTGCCACAGCTGAAGGTCATGGAGTGACTCGGTGCCAATAAAAACAGATGAAATACTGGGAAACCACTTTTTAAAAACCTTACCTTGCTAAAAGGAAGCCCAATTGCCTGAAAAAAATGTAAACTTTGAAAAGATAAGCATCAGTCATGGCTTCTCAGCTCACCTTTCAAAGTTACATCAACAGAAAAAGCAGTCAAAATATTTGCACACCTAAATAAAAAAAAAAAAAAAACTAGGATTTTACTTTGGAGCTTAAAAATAGCTCAGTTCATTCCCCTAATCAGATAGAGACTTCCTGTGTGACTGGGAGTAAATTGCTTGGGACAAGGTTTCTGAAGGCATGTAAATGTCTACATTTAGATGCGCACTGGAGTATTTCCTGCAGATTTTCGTAACTAACAAGCACTGAAAATCTGCCTTTACATTGATCTTTAAGTGGTTTTTTCCTAATGGTTAGTCTGTGAGTTATTAGGATCATCATGAATGTGGGCTATCATTGAATCATAGAATATTCTGAGTTGGAAGGGACTCATCAGAATCATCGAGTCCAGCTCCTGGCCCTGTGCAGGACACCCCAAGAATCACACCATGTGCCTGAGAGCATTGTCCAAATGCCTCTTGAACTCAGACAGGCTTGGTGCTGTGTTTTCACTTTATATTTTTTGGATAAGTAAGCTTGATGCCTATGAAGATTTTGAGAAGTGACAGGTTTGACAGTTTACTATAGGAGTGTAGACTGTTCCCACCTATAATATGAGAATAATTGTACCTTCACTAGGAGCTATCAAATAAACACAGGACACATTGTGAGAAAATTATTTTGTGTCATGATGTAGCCATATTTCAAGCTTGACTTAAGACAAGGAAAAGAAAATTTCCAGTTGCTGCATAAAGAATATGTTTTTTTCTATAACTTGCTCTCCCTATTTCCACAACTCATCAAAGAAGAAAGAAAGAACCCAACATACAAAAGTGTAAACTAGGTAGGGGAGAAGTCCTCAAATCAGAATTTGATAGCATGTAAATACCTGAAATCACACAGCAGAGTGCTGCTCAGTACATCCTGGTAGTTTCTCAGCACCTCAGAATTAGGGCAGATTTTGTATATTTGTTTCAGATTCTTGCATACTAAATTAAATGAATCATCTCAACTTATGTAGAATTTCCTTGAAATCAAGAGGACTAATTACACAAAAATCACTCACGATTGGAGGAGTTGCAGTGAGGCCACATGCACTTAAGCCAATTGAAAAAGCTCTTTCCAGAATGCACATTGCATATGTATGAATAAGCTAATTGCTGACAGGAAGGCACTAGTGGTGTTTATTAAATGCAATGTCTCAGAAGCAACATTTGGCTCAAGAAATTCCTTCATTTAAGGAGCTTGGAAGGGATATCAGTGAAAAACAATTAAACCTATTTCTTATAATCCTTCATAAGCATTTGCTATGAGCAATCATCAGGGGTGAGATAATGCAAAAGGCAGTTAGGTCAGTGCTTGACTGTCATAGTTTCCATCACAACTGTATTGCAGTTTGAAAAGATTTCTACATCATAAACTTTTACACTTGTAATTTTTTTCCTACCACGGTGGACCAGTAAGATATGACTGCTGAGGATCTTTATGTTGACGAAGTAGACAGTGCAGATATTATGAGATTGGTACATGCCATTTAGCAGTCTAGTTTCCCTATGCTTTTTAGATTTATAGAAATGCTTTAATTTTTTGTACTAAGAGGCAAAAAAACCATTTCTTATCCAAAATATTCAACTATGGTTAGTCCACTTTAATTATTGTATACAAAAGTGTTTTATTCTTTTCTTCAAATCAGACTGGCAGAGATCATTTAGAGCATTCAACTAGAATGGTCTCAATAAAAACTAATCAAAAGCTCCTGTGAGTTTGAGCATGGGATCTGGTAAACTCAGTAACAAATAAAACATAATTCTAAACATTCATGTTCACAAAAAAAAAATAATTACAAAATCTGAACAATAAGTTAATAAAGTAAAATAGTTATCTACTCTTCAGATATAAAATCCCAGCAACTTAATTTATATATCACTATAGCAGATATGATAAAATTATGAACAATGCTATCCACTGTCATAAGTGGTACTTCAAGATTTCCAACAGAAAACTTATATTTTAATTTTCTGTTCATAAATAGCCAAAAGTAAGAGGCAAAGCCAGCCTAATAGTAATCCAAGGTTCTGTAGGAGAAACATCAACCAGGGTCGCCGCGTCTGAATATGAGTCATTTCAGGAAGCTAAAAAAAGAATAAAACACCAGAATGAGAGCCAGATACATTCATCTGTGGGAAAAAAAGTTATGGGAAAACAAGGCAAACTTCATTTAAAAAAACAAAAACTTTTCAAAATGCTGAGCTTCTGAATGCAGTTATTAATGTGTAGCATTTTCTGTACATTGTAACAAAGCTGATCTTACAGTGAAATATTTAAATTAACCAAATATATGGGCATTTAACCAAATACCCATTTTGGTTCTTTTACTAGCACTGACAAGAATTATAAATGAGATTCTGAAATTTGTTAGCTTCTCAATAGTTTGTAGCAATTTCATATAGCTGTCTGCAAGGAAATGCTTATTTAGTAAAATTAGTGATTCCCTTTTGTGGGAATAAATTAGTTGGAGTATTTTTTGTTTGAGTTCTAAATATAGGGTCAATCATGCTCTTTCTGAAATAATTGGCAACACTCCTATTTACTTGGGCTTTAGTAAATGCACAAGAGGAAAAGAGGATTTTTTAAATATGCTTGAAAAAAATGTGTTTAATATTTTTTTCTGTGAGTTTTAAATCATATAATCATACTAAAAACTACTTCATTCTAAAAACCTTCCACTCTACATGGTCTCTTTTATCAAAGTTTTAAACTAAATGTATGTCTAAACAGAGCCTGTGAAAATGATGCCTCAGGCTCAAATTCTCTTAATATTTTTGCTTTATGTCTTATAGACACCAGGGGAAACACTAATGACTGCTAATACTTTCACATCAACTCAGGAAATAAATATAAAGCAATGGTCTGGTGCTGACCTCTGGTTTTGGTTGGGATTTTTTGTCTGCTCCACTCGCAGCCTGCACTTGAACAAAGCTGCTGAGTTCCTCTGCTCTTTGGAACCTCTTCACAGTAGCTGTAACAGCAGCAGCCACTGGGAGACAGTGGAGTGGTGCTGACCAAGGAGGCTAACAGGAGTGTTTGCTATGCTTATCATTCCCTCTGTTCAGAGAGGGGGGGTCTCTGGGGCTGCTTCTTTTGTGCTCTTCTTTTTCTGGAAGTTGTCATGGGCCCAAAAGAAAACTGTAATGGAAAATCAGCCGCCCCTTTAAAGTTTTGTTTGAAAATAACAGGCAAACCCAAATGCCCTGGATCTTCACTACAACTAGGCAGTGGTTTAAATTATGGTACAGAAACTCATGTAGTTATACTTGATCTGTATTTAAAGATAATTGGAAACTTTTAATCCAAAGCAAGTGCAAACACTTCAAAGTTCTGGATGTAAATCAAAATCTGAACTGACATTTTGTAAATGCCCAGAGCACATGCTTTTTGTTGTGTATTTAAGCAAAAACTGGTAATTAGGACCTAAGCCTGAATTCAGAGTTCCAGTCTAGACATTTGGTCTTTTTTATTTATCCTTATAATCAGTCTCTTTTGTCCTCTTCTCCAGTGCCTGAGTGAACAAGTTCTCCAAACTGGAAACTTTTCCTCCTCCCACTGCAAAATTTAGTCTTTTCTCTTATTGCTGTCAGTGACAATTTCTGAGTTATACACAGTAAATTTCTAAGAGAGTTTTTAAAAAGAATTCTCATCAGGTAGTGCCCTTCCCATGTCCAGTGCTGCTGTCTTCTCCCTCCATCTAACCTATGTGCGTATTATCAACACACAGACCATTTCTATAACCATACCTAGTGTGACATCCCTGCTTATCTGCAAAAATAAAAGCTGATTGCTGTCACAATATCAGCTATGGTTCCCCAGTTCTCTCTGAACAACAAAGTGTGCGGTACAGCAGAGTGAATCACATTTAGGAAGCATAAGCCTATTCAAACAGCAGATGCAAACCACTTCGAAATTGAGGGAATGTAGCACCACATCAAGGGACTACTCTATTCTCACTCCAGCTCATGTTATCATGACCACACAAAAGATAAGAAGAAATAGGAAGCAGCATGCTGAAAGGAGGCATGAGGGGTCATGTACTGGCTAAAGAGTTCTACCAAGCTGGGGCATATATGGCATGACTGTTGCACTGCAACAGCCAAGTAAATCACTTTAAACACTTCTCCTTTATTTTCAAAATCAAAAATATTTGTAAGGTTAGTCAGAGTAAACATCACTTTTGCATAATTTCTTGGTGAAAAACGATGAAGGATATAAATGATTTTATCTTTTGATTTTTTCAATTTCTAAAATGATTAGTCTACCCTGCTTGCTAAAGGAGCTAGAATGCCATTTGTCAAAATGAAAAACCTTTAATCAACCACAGAAATAATTTTGTGCTAACTTGACTGCAGCAACTGTTTCACAGTGCTGTTCTGTCAATAAACCTCCACTCATACCCCTCAGTGTTCCTCAATGCAGAAACCAGTGAGGTTGTTCAGTTCTACTGAACTGCTGCTCTGACAAGCACATGAATATGTGAAAGCCCATGAAACAAGTACCAAAAATTACAGTCAAGCTTTGTATTCCATTAAGTGTTTGTACACCATTGGCAGGAACACTGATGATTGCTGTTTGTAGATGAAAATGCAGCAGAGAATAGAAGCTACTTCTGAGCAGAAAGTTGAAAAATACATAAAGAATGGCTCATTTTCTTGACATGTACTATACAAACATACAAAACTTTTCAGATCTATAGATTCCCTTAGTGCTACATGAATAATTTTTTAAAATAAAATAATCCCTGGGATATTTGACACTTCTGACAAACATAGATGAGCAAACCAAAGAGAATATAGAGAGAAATAGATACAGAGATACAGAGAATATATAGAGCCTATTAATAAAAGGTATTGAGAGAAATAAGATCCTCCCTTCTCTCTCCCTTCTTTCTCCACATCAAGACCAAGATCACAGTGACAAGCTGAGAACAAGGGAAAACACGTCCCTGTCTCTGCCTGGAACTGTATTATCTCTTGGGATTTACTGCTGGCACAGTGCTTTGAAGACTCAGGGAAAAACATGGTATTGTTCTAGAAGCTTGTGGATCCCTGATCCTACAGTGATTGCAAAATATGTCTATATCATTCTTAGCCTATTAGTAAAACCATGCCTACTCAGTAGGTAGGCAGCCTCATTTCCAAATTTTGCAGTCTCAGAACAAGCTGCAGCTTGGTACACAGTGTTCTTGTCTGTTATTTACCACCTCAGTCAAGACTGTTGACACATCCACAATCCTGAGGCAGTTCCCTCTTAAGCTCTTAGGAGCACTTTATGTTCACTTTAGTTACAATATCAAAAATAGGATAAATACTACCAAGGTCTGAGGTCAATTATTATAAGCAGGATTTTAAATAGGTTTTAATACTGGAATCAGGTTTAAAGTATTATGCTTGAACCTGGTAACTAATGTCTCAGGCATAAGGTGGAGGGTAGTAGTGAACACAGCTGAGAGACAGCCAGGCTTGGGGAAAACAGTAATAATTTATGAAGTGACATTTTTTTTTCTCCCTCTTCATCTAATCACTCAAAATATTCCATCTCTGTTCAGGAGCTTGTAGGCAAGTTCACAACAACACATGAGAGTGAAAGACCATGTGACAAAGCTGGGAAGGCAATCAAGTTCTGCGCTGCTACAAGTGTAACAGTTAGCCATCTCTTCAATAAATGATGGGGCCCGAGGCATCTGCATGAGCTAGGATACTTCTGCATTTTTGTACAGTCCTTAGACCTTTCTCCTACTGCATATCTTCACACTTTATTTTTCTATATCACTGCTATTGAACTGGGACTATGAAAAACATTGGGCAAATACAAAAAAGTTGAGGCAATGTGATGGCTTATGAATCACTTAGGAGCTCAGCCAAACCTAAGACAGAAAGGAAGAGTGCAGGATAAGCATCTTTGCATTTTAGTTCAGAAACAGCAAATTCGTATTGCAACAATGGATGAAAAATATATAAAGAGAAGGGCACAAAAAAGTAACCAGCTTCTTCAGGATTTTAAAAAACCCTGTAGGTTCAAATGTTTAAGTTTTACTAAGTAACTAAAAATATATTGTTTACCTTTCCCCCTTTAAAAGTCCTTTATGCCTTTCTCATATATTAGCCTCCTAATGGCCTTTATTTCACCTTTTCATTACTAATGACACCTAGCATGAGAAGGACATGAAACAAAACCAGATTATCGTTCTAAGTACCGTACATGCACAGGGCAGATGACATGCTCTTCCCAACAAGCCTATGAACTCTTTTTCTCTCCAAGTTCATCCACCTGCATTTGTCTGACACTCATCTATGATGTGTGGCTAAGTTGAAAGGAAAATATACCCATAGACTGAAGTTCTCACCATTTCTGCTAAAGATAAATACAAGAACATTCCAGCTGTAACAGTAAAAATCCAGTTTTGAATGGATGGGTCAGTTGATAGAGAAAGGCCAATATAAAGTCCTAAGAATGCTGTCAGTGCACTTATAAAATTCATCAGAATTGCAATCTTCGTGGGGAGCCCTGTACTTAGCAGCACAGCAAAATCTCCTGCATAGAGAAAAAGACAGAAAATTTATTATTTAGCTGATAAATGTATTTGGAAGATTCTTGGTAATAAAACATGAAGGAAAATAATTCAGACATGCACAAAGATAGTAAATGGCGTAGGGCTGCCTTTAGCTTTCTGTAGAATTAGTTATAAACTCATCTCATATGAAAAAATACTCAAAACCTCAAAACAACAAAAAAGTAATATTTACTTTATTTGTTTAGCTGTTCCTAAAGATAGCATACAGTATACAGGAGCAGCTTTCTGTTAGTTCTCGATGTTCCATGACATTTCCAACTTGGATACAAGTAAAAGTGAAGTCACATGTTTTCCCAGAGTTTCTAAATCTTTCTCCACTGGGAACTTGCCAGATCCAAACATGTGGGTATATTTGCAGGATGATGTTTGAGTGTTTTACAGGTGCTGCAAGTCAGAGTAACCTATGCCAGTTTGATTCCAGTTTGAGATTTCATAACAGGCCCACAGAAGAAGATTTTAAAAATTCTACTCTGTGACTGTAAAAATGCCACTGACACTAGGGCATTACTGCCCCAGAATTAAGAGGGTCTGTCTTTGGAGGTAACTGTTGAGTATTTAAATTTTCTTTGCTATGCAAACAAGAGTCACCAGTTTTACAGCAATCCCCCATCCCATCTTTTTGTTTGGGGAAGTTTTCTACATAGTTCATGAATTCTTCAGTCATTTAAGGATGGAAATGAGAATCTGCAGTTCTCATCTCAAACTTTCCAGTTTATAAGTGTTCATCAACACAATGTGAGGAACAGCTTCAGCTATGCTGAAAGTTTTACCACAAGAAGTTAATTGAGGACAATACTCAATAGAACAATCTTCCTGTCCTGTCCACTGGTAAAATAGGTCATATACTTTCTTTTAGTACCTTATTATTTTTGATTAGCAGCAGGAAGGAGGGTAACATGGGGAATATTGAAACTGCTGTATACTGAAAGTCTTGGATAGCCCATTGTGTAAGGCATGTCCATTATGCACACATGGCTCTTGCTCTCAGCTTATAATTTTTTGTCTCTGTCCACATAAGAATAACAGGTCACCCTTGGCCTGATGTCCTTTACATTTGGAGAAAGTGAGATGGGATGGTATCCAATAATGAGTGCAGAAGCCTTCCCTGGGTTTGGGAAGGGGAAAGAAAGTAGGAGTCTTGCACATTAATGTTATAGTTCATGATGTTATAAGCAAGAATTCCCACAAATATCATACAGGAAAGAACTCTTTGGGAAACCTGGAAATACAAAGCCAATCAGGAAAAATACATATATATGTATTTCTTACCCATTTCATGAGGAATTTCATGGCATAAAATAGCAACAGTCGTTGTCACACCTGTTTCTGTTGAGGATGAGAATGCTGCTCCTATCACTAGACCATCAGCAAAATTGTGAAGACTGTCACCCACCAGGACCATTATTGCTAACAAGCTGATTTTCTTACCTCAGAAAAGATAAAAAAAGAAGCAAAGAAATAAAAAGCCCAGAAGTTTTAACACAAACAGATATTGCAATTTTTGTTATTTACAAATGATTTAGTTTTTTGGTGACTTTGCATTTAACATTATGATAAGTCATAATAGTCAGAGGAAAATTGTGTTTAACTTCTTTTCCCTTGTTACTGCATTTCCTTCAATACATTTAAAATTAAAAAAGTGGCTTGCAGTACAATTCAGAGATGCAAATACCAGGAAGCAATTTCCTTATTCTTACTAGGTTAACTATTAGACAAAATGTTAAGTTTGAGTCTAGTCTCAGGATACATCCTAAGGGTTTCTATTAATCATTCTTTATTTATCAAAATTCACACAAGTTTTCCTAGATGTTATTCCTAGATGTTATTTTTCTGGAACTCACAGGATTGCACAGTTATGCTGAAGATGAATATTTGGTCTCAGGCAGCTGATTGTTTTAATCCTGTAGAGCTTGCTAACACTGAATAATATTTGCAGAGTCTATTTTTTATGAGACTGCATTTCAGTGAAAGACAGAGATGAAAGACAACAAGCCTTAGAGTATCACTATTAGTACAGGGTTACAGCATGCTTATTTCCAAAGTTTGTTCCAATCAATTAATGGTTATTATGCTTATAATACTCCTATCTGGAGCACCACTGATGGGTGCAGGTGGCTGTTTGTCTTTCCCATTCTGTTCTGTGACCTCATTTTAGCATGGAACAATATACTGGCTGTTCATGATCAGACATATGACATGAGTGGAAAGGTGCTACTAGGGGTGCAAGCACTGAAATCAAGCTAGAGAATTAGGGACAGTCTCTCTGTCCAGCCTGTAGCACAGACAGCTGGGTGGCATGCTGAATGGATTCACAGGGAGAGAGTTTATCTCTTCAAGTAGCAACAAGGCTCCATATAGGTTCAATGTCTAAACTTAGCAACACATAATGGGTTCCCCTATCCTGTAGTTTGTTTTATTTATTCTATCCACAAACTCACAAGCAGGACTGCCTAATGTTTCTCAGGAAACTCATCCAGCTTCCCTCTACACAGAATGGACAGAACACTTTGAAAAGGGTTGGTTTCATGCCTGAAGAAGCAGGGTCGTGATTTGGGCCCTAAATATGTATTTTCCTGACTTTTGATGACCCCCATAGTCATAATATGACAGACTAAGGACCTAAAGTGGAGTTGCACAAAACTGCCTGAATACAGTTATTACCAGGTTTCACTTCAGTAATGTTTCTGAGAGATGACTATTTTATAGTGACAGGGGAGATGTTTTTCTTACAGAAACTGGCTAGAAATGAAGTCTTCAGACTATTATAAAAAAAACACACAGCACATAAAAGCTTAACAACCGTATTCAGAAAATCCTCCCTAGTTGCCTGGGAGCTCTGTGGGTTCAGAGGAATTGGCAGGCTTGCTAGATTTTCCTGCCAGCTTGCAGAGCCGGACGTGGATGTCCCCAGCTTGTACAGTTCTTTCTAAACACTATGGGCAGTTTATAATCAATAGTGCAGAGCATGAATTACATAGAAATAATAGATTATTGCACTACATTAAGTTTGTGATTTGTAATAAGCATCAGTAAGGACGAAATTGTGGCCTGCCCTGAGATCTTATTAGTCTGTTTTGTTCAAGTATCTTATTGTTGAAGAAGATATACCATGATTACTGGAACTCACTCCAGCATGTTGTGTGTAATGTAACATAGGGATCAGGTTAACATTATGGTGCAATTGCAAATGTAAGCTTCGTGAACTTACTTGACAGAAAGTTAAGGAGATGCATGTATAAACAAATCTGAATGTTTATCTTACTTTACTTTCAGCCTATTTTAAAGCAGCTTTGTTACTGGCAATTATCTCACTGCATTGTATTCCAACAGAAACTATTAACTATAAACTTATTATCTTAACTATTTCTACAAAGCCTCTTCTTCTTAAAAAATCTTATTTTTTATTTTTTTTTCTGCTTAAATAGAGGACCAGAACTCATAGCAAATTCTGTTTCATAAAAACCCCAGAACTAATGGGTGCAGGACTTCAATCATAGATTACACTTTTAAAGTTTTGAAAAAGAGTTTAAAGCAAACATTTATCCATAAATAGATCTTTTTCCAATGTTTCAATGCTCATACTGAAAAAATATTTCTTGTAAATATAAACTGTCACTGAGTATACCAAATATAAAATGCTACTGTTTGGTCTTTTCAGATATTGACAGAATAATTGTGGATAAAAGAGGAGGGGGCCTGTGAGACATCTTTCGCTTCAGAAAGCTTCTTGCTTTCTGAGTCACTCACTGGCTATCTAAGGTGACTGACTCCTTTTTCAGTCCTACTTGACATACATTTACAGTGAAGCCTCCCAGTGGATGAAATGCCAGGCTTCTGCCTTAAAGCTGCAGATTCCATTCAGTTTTGGGGAAAAAGCACCTAAAAGTTTAGCTCAGTACCAAGGTACTCAGGTTTGTTTATGCACTGAGCCATTTAAAAGAACTCTAACAGTACAAACTTTTCACAGAATCACAGAATATGCTGAGTTGGGAGGGACCCACAAGGATCTTTGTGTCCCACTCCTGGCCCTGCACAGGACCATTCCCAAGAGACACGCCATGTGCCTGAGAGCATTGTCCAAATGCTACCTGAACTCTGCCAGGCTTGGTGCTGTGATCACCTCTATGGGGAGCCTGTTCCAGTGCCCAGCCACCCTCTGGGTGAAGAACCTTCTTCTAATATCCAACCTAAACCTCCCCTAACACAACTCCAGGCCATTCAGGTCTTATTACTTCTCACCAAAGAGAAGAGATCAGTGTCTGCTAAAATTATGTATTCACAAAAAACCCCAAACCCAAACAAAACAAACCCCAAACCCCCAAATAGCCCCTCCTTTCCTACTAAGATTTCATTTACTGATTTCTAATATGGAGGTAAGACTGAGGTATCAGGATAAAATGATACCAAAGAAGATTATTGAGAAACTATCACAAAATTAGTTACTTAGAACAAATAACATTGAGATCACTAGAAATTAGTGTGTGCTTAGCACATAATGATGACTGAACTGAGTGGAAATATCTAGAGATGAACTACGAAGTCACACTCAAACTGGCACTGGATTGTGTACTACTGGAGACATGAGACTGAAGAAATGAAAATCCAGATTTCTAATGCCTCAGAAATGGAAATTAAGTCCACAAGAACAGAGGAGAACATTAAAAACCTAGAAGATAATGACATAATTAAATAAATCACACTACTGGTCTGAGATCTGAGATCACAAAATTGAGGGGAGTTGATTATAGTAAATAAACTGATTTTAATTAAAATATTATTCCCTCAGGTGAATGACTGCAATTCTACTGAATTTACCAAGATCACAAGGTACAGTCAAAGGTAGAATTTGATTTATACTCTATTTTCCTATTTTTTTTTATTAAGCAGCAACAAACACAGAAGACGGGAATTATCTGAAATTGTATGAAGAAAACAGATTTTACTAAAACTGAGAGCCATCAGATCCTGTAATTTCACACCTGTAATAAATCATTACTGGTTCAAAGAGGCTATTGCTTTACTGTGTAAGAGAAGAAGGAAGCAGAATTATATTAGTATAGTGAGCCAACAAAACAAGCATTCCACCACCTTCAGAAATAAAAGCCTGAGCTAAGTTTATAATTACAAAAATCTGTTTTGTATTAATTTTTTAATCTTTCCCTTTAAGAAAAGGCTTTAGAAAAATAGATTGCAACAGTGAGACAACAAACACTGAAGCAAGGACAGTATAAGACTAACGAACTTCACAATTACAGGGCTGGCAGCTGAGAAGGTCTTTAAGTAGAGATTAAATTATGTAACCAGGCGCCATCAGATGTGGCGACGTAGCACATAGCAAGCACAGAGCTAAGCCAGCTTCAGACTTTCAATTCCATCTTAGGTCTGAAGGATTTTCCTGTTACTTGTCTAGTCTTTTTATTGATACTAACTTTTTTTGCTGATCGCCTTGCTCTCCGGAGGAACTTCAGCAGATTCAGAATCTTCTGGGCTTCTCTAGTTAAAAGTAAAGATAATGGATCAGTGTTAAGGGGCTCTTCCAATTCCTGCTATAAATACTGGAAAATGTCAACTAAGTTCAAGCTATTTGAATAAAAGATAGTCAATTGTTATTTGCACAGATATCATTAGAATAATTTATTGACCACTGGCAGTGTGATTGGTACTGCAGAAACACATGAGAAAGAAATCTCCCTTGCCCAGAAAAGGTGACAGTCTAATTCAGGTAGGAAGATATTCAAGCACTGTTGTTGCCCAAGAAAACCATATTTCTGCTTGAATACCTAAAAATCTGAGCCAAATGTAAGACTAAAAAGATTATAATTCAAATTACACGCTTTGATTTTGTCAAGACTAGAACTGTAGTTTCCTGATGGAGAAGGTGTCCATAGGATTTCCAAAGATGATCATAGATAGGTTTCACCCCCTTTCAAAATACAGGGGGTTTCCTTCAGTGTGGTGCAGCCTCCAGTGCCCTGACTCTTGGCTTTTATCTGGGGCTTTGTCTTAGCACTAGACATCACTGATTGGGCATAGCAGCACATGAGTAGACTTCACTTCAAGGAGCGAAATTTACCCTTATTTCAAGTGAAGAAAGAGGCAGTATCTTCATCCTTATCCTAGAGAGTTAATTTGATGCATCTGCCCCAACATTTAATTAACAGATAATGCAACTGTGGGGAGAGAAGGGAGAACATGAGCAATCTCTCACTCTCCCTACCTCCCTGGGGCTTTGTTTTCTGACTAGAGAAATTATTAGAAATTCATGTGAGGGACAGATAAGTCAAAAAACTTGTTTGCTTGAAACAAGAAAAACTGAATTTATCATTGCTACTTTTTTTTTCCCAAAAAAGTGGGAAAACCTATTATGGTAGCCAGTGAAGAGTCAACAACAGCACAAGAGTTCAGTGTTGGGACAGCAGCTACCACTCCAAAAACTGTAGCAGGTGTGTATGTTGAGTAGAAAATAGAATATATTAATTGGCTGGCATTAGCCTGCTTGTGATGTGGGATATGTGCTGTAGAAGTATGAGGAAAGAAGGAGAAAGAATGTTTTTCAAATTCTGCATTTTAAAGGAAAAATAAATGTCTTTAATTCCTGTGATTGCAGCCAGTCATATGAATTCCAATAATTGTTCCACTTCTCCTATAATATTTATTCACATGCCACTTCTTTGAACTCTGAGTCAAAACTGCAAGACTAATCACTGACCTGAAGGATTTATAAGTTTTTCTTAGTCAACCAGTGTTTGTCTTAGTATTACTCACATGATTCCGAAAAATTGGCTGCTCTTGTACAAACCAGTTAAGCCAGGATAATTCATGTGATCTATATAGAACTTTGGGGGGATCTTGCAGCTGAGTGGAATGACATGATCATTCATTATCATAAACAGGAAGCTATGACGTGGCTCACAAATTAGTAAACATGTTTCACTCGTCTGTTTGCTCTGTTTTCAATTGAGAGTTTCCCAATTGTGTTTTAAAGATTAGCAGTGACTCATGAGGCTCTTGCCCATCACAACTAAATTAGTAAAATGGAGTTCACATTATGGATCTCTGGAGGAACTGATTTAAATAACCTATGTACATAGGTACTGCATATAAACTGAGAAGACTTGTTGGAAAAAAAAAGAAAAAACAGGTTAAGAGTTATGAGTCAATGTAGTTTGCAAGGATTTATCTGTCTGGATACTATCTATAGGCCAATATAAAACCATGTAACTTTTTATAAGTAAGCACCATTCCCATATATCCAGCTTGCTTATGCTACCCTTAAAATCTGTGGAAAAATGCTCAAGAACAGTCCAAGGTTTAATCTGCTCATTAATTATGCACTGAACTCTCACCGTAGAAAATCATGAAGTTTTTCCCCTGGACAATCTGCCTTTACATATAATCAATTTTTTAAAAGAAGGAAAGAGGAAAGTCTTCAAGAATTTTATTAACAAAATGTAGCGCAGGAGGTGAATTGTTATATCAATCTGAGACACACTGAAGAAAAGTTATTGTAAAATATCTGCACTTGAAATCTCTGTAAAAGCTCATTACAAACTTCAAAATCTAGAGATTCCTAATAATCATGTCATGTAATAACACCAAATCAATATAAACTGAAAAATATTACTGATTTATTACATTAATTTGGTTCATTTTTTTGAGGAATAGAGAAAGAAGAACATAAAATCAGGGAAGTATGTCATATTGGTAACCTACCAACTGTATGGTTGAAGTAGATTTGCCTCTGCCTGAATGTTCATTTAATTCAGATTCCACTGGAAGATCATGGGAATGTCCCCAGTGCCCATTAACTAAAGAAAGGCCCTGCTGAATGAAGATGCTTTGCAATTAGTTCTGAAACCCATGAACACACGTGTAGTATTTCTCAGCCTTTTATGAAAATTTAACATTTTTAAGAATTAATTTTTTCAAAATGAAATCTATTTTAAAAGATTGTTGGCTGGCATCACTTGTTTCCTAATGCCTATTTTCTTAAAAAACCCTGAAGAGTGAATCAGATAAACCAGTGACAACCATATGGGTGTGATACAACTTAATTTTTTTTTTAAATCAAATTAAAATTTGAAGCCGAGATGGATATAAAAACTAACTCTGAGAATTAATCTAGTTCTCAGTAGAAAAAATTAAAAAAATTGTGAGATAGTGATAAAGCCCTTCTCCCAAATAAGTAACAAAAAGGACTTCTTTTTACCAAAAAATAAACCATCACTGGCATCAAAATATTCTCATTCTATTAATCTCACACAATATTCTTATGGCTGACTCAAAGATAGTGGGAATAGGGACTCATTGCTGCATATCTAAATCAGGCCATTCTTTGCACACCCTGCAAAACAGAACAAGCAAAGGTTTAGCCTTCTTAAGCAACATTAAGATTGTGTCTCATGCTGAGAAACCTAATGAGCCATCACATTTTGTGGTACATTATATCCTTGTGCATAATCATATTTTTAGGCTCCATCCACACTGAAATAAAGTAATAGAATTACTATAAACATGTCAGTGAGCAAGGAGATAATATAAGAGGTTGGGCCCTACTGACTGCAACGTACATATTAGATTTTCAAATCATTCAGATCAAAGACAATTTGGAAATTTTAAGATTTTCAAGATCATTCTTGAAAATATCTTATGCTTACATCTATGTCTTTCTCCTTTTCAAACAGGGCCTACAGTAAACAACCGCCATTGATATTTTGCATGGATACATACTTTTCACCTGCTCCTATGTGAGTCATAAATGCATGCTTATGGAACATATTCGATCAACTGTTCCCTTCTTGAGTTATAAATATATTGAACACATTCATGTAGCATTGCACAATCCACAGAGCAAAGCAAAATAGAAATTGAAGGTCAATCTGGTAGGAGCACTTAGGAAAGCAATTATCAATGCTTCATTTAACTCACACAAATTATACTTATTTTCCACAATCATTTTAACACTTTGTGCACTGTAAAATCTCAAAATAGATTTTTAAAGGATAAATTGTAGAAAGCTTTACCTGTTCCCGTGGTGTTACCAAAAGAAAGAAACACTTTTCTATCAGAAAAAAACCATGAATTCCTCCAATTATTCCCAAAAGCTTCCAAATATATTCTTTTCCCTCATAGAAATGTTCTATGTCTTGTGCTTCATGTTTATGTAAACCAAGAGTCTGAAATAAAAGAGATAGAGTTAAAAAAAATGAAATGGTAATGTTTTAATTTTTGCTAGAGCAAGCCACAATGTGTTAATTCAATTTATTCTCAAAATTCTCTTCCCTCAGTTCTTTCAAATTTAAATTGTGTTTTGAGCTAATCCTCTGAATAGTAGATAATGAAATTAATTATTAGTAGACTCTGCTATATCTTTCAGTGGTGGAAATAACATAATAACATTATGTTTTATGAAATTGCCCTTTATGTATGTGTGTGTCTGTATATATTATATATATATATATATATATATATATATAAAATTTGGAGTACATTATTGTCTATGAAGTCTATAAAAATTACTTTCATCATCTTAATATGTAAGCTTCATATTGAAAACAGACAAGGAGCTACTGGAGAGGGTCCAGCAGAGGGCCACAAAGATGATAAGGGATCAGGAGCATCTCTCTTATGAGGTGAGACTGGGGGAGCTGGGCCTCTGTAATCTAGAGAAGGATCTAGATCTCCTAGATCTAGATCTAAGAGAGGATCTCCTCAATACATACAAATATCTCAAAGGCTGGTGCCAAGACACAGTGCCAGATTCTTTTCAGTGGTGCCCAGCAATAGTACAAGGAGTAATGGCCATAAACTAAAACACAAGAAGCTCCACATCAACATAAGTAAGAACTCCTTTACACTGAGGTGGCAGAGCACTGGAACAGGCTGCCTGGGGAGGTCGTGGAATCTCCCTCTCTGGAGACATTCAAAACCCACTTGGATGCGATCCTGTCATCTGCTCTAGGTGACCCTGCCTTGGCAGGAGGTTGGACTAGGTGATCTACAGAGGTCCCTTCCAACCCTAACTATTTTGTGATTCTATGAAAACAATACATAATTTATTAACGCATAACTAATGCATAAATCCATTTCTACCAGTGGGTGTACTTCCATTTTTTCCCCAGTGGCACAGCACGGCAGCCTTCCCTTTGCTCTGAAAGTGAGTTCTTTAAAGGCTCTGGATACATCACTTAAAACTGGTGAAAGAGAATACTTTCACACTCCAGAGGTGTTTCTGAAATAAATGCATTTGTCTGACGTTCACTGAGAACTGCCTTCCTTAAATCATTCTCCCAGTTTTGCTTCCAGAGGTGATGCATTGAGTACAAAGAATATTTTGACCAGAATCTCAAGTGAAGCTGTGAAGCTCTCTTTCTACAATCACTGCAATTCTACTCATAACATCTGTGTCATATCGGAGGAGACTTAGTCAAAAGTAAATGAATACACGATGGAAAATTTGGTTCTGTTTTGCATGCTATCCTGCTCTTAAAATTTATTTTATGAATTTAGGACAACATCATAGCACCAATTTTATTACACTTATAGGTTGACAGCTCTTGGTTCTCTGGAAAAACACGTGGAGGGGACTGTGGATGCCTCATACAACCCTTGAAAAATTTCTCTTGAGACGTGTTACAGAATATGCCTCATGAAAGAAATTAATGCACATCTAGAAACTTGCCTTGCACAAGACTTGTGGGGTTTCTGAAAAGTTTGTTTTGAAAACAGGAGCCTTATTTTCTTTGAATTCATCATTCATAGATTTCAGCTTCTTACTACTTGTAACGTCTCTCTGAACTACAGAGTGCAAATGTAACTGGAGTGCTGGGTAGATTTAATGGGAAGTTTATTTATAAACAGATGAGCATTATCCAGGATTAAATAAAACTTTTCTGTGTGTACATGCACACACGCATATGTGTCAACATTTTAAAAGCACTGAAGTGTCTATTACTTACCTGAGGAATAAGATGTAGCAATGCATCTCCAGAAAGGGTTCCAACAGCCAAACCGACAAACAGCTGTAAAACGAGTGTATAGATTTCTTGACAGGAGTTAAATAAAATGAGAGTTGTACCAAACATAGATCCAATAGTAATAAGTAAAACAGCAACAGTGCTGTAACCATATTCTGTAGGGGAAAACAAATGAAACAAAACAAGGGCGCCTTTAATCATCCAGTATTTGTATTTGTGTTTGAGTATTTGTTTTGTATTTGTAATTGGTTTTGAGGGTGTGTTTTGACACCTATGCACAAGCACACAGGAGAAGTGATTCATTGTTCCACTGTCTGATTTCAGCTGGGATTGAGTTAATTTTCCTAGAAGCTGGTAGAGTGCAGTGTTGTAGATTCAGTATGAGAATAATGTTGATAACACATTCATGTTTTGGTTGTTGCTAAGTAGTGCTTACCTCAAGTCAAGGACTTTTCAGTGTCTCATGCTCTGCCAGTGAGGAGGGGCAGAAGAAGCTGGGGGGAGCACAGCCAGCTGACCTGAACTGGCCAAAGGGCTATTCCATACCACAGAATGTCATGCCGAGTATATAAACTGGGAGACTTGGCTGGGAGGGGATGATTGGTGCTCACAGATGGGCTGGGCATCAATCAGCAGGTGGTGAACAATTGTGTTGTGCGTCACTTGTTTCTCTTGGGTTTTATTGCTCTCTATTTTTTTTTGTAAACAAACCAAGGTGTAAAACCTCAGATGGATGTAGGGATCTAATTTAGGTTCTAAGCATAAACATTTTGGTCCAAATTACATTTGCAAATCTGCTGTGGACATGCATCCCTTTAGTTACCACATCAGGACCACCAACTTCTTTTTCTGAGGTTACTGGGATTTTTTTGAAGGTTACTCATAATTCTTCAGTTACACATCACTCACATTTCCAACCTTTTGCACAACATAAATCCTGACTAATCTGTATGAAATCTTACGATGGAGGTAAAACAGTGAAGAGAAACACACATAAAGGAACTAATGCCAAAATATTCAAAACTGTCACTTAATGTTTCACACTTTAAAAGCACTGCAAGTGCTCAGCACCTCATAAAATCAGACAGTAAATTTCACAGACTGCAAATCCAAATACAGGGTATAGTAGATATTTATGGAAGGTCAGGCCTTGGTGACTTAGTCAAAACAGCACAGTCTGTCAGTAAAATAGAACTGAGAATAAAATTAATGAGCCCATGCTCAGGTCACTAGGTCACACATAGGTCAAACATGGAGTTCTTTATCTGTATCAAGACAGTAGAAGTGTTCCTGTGGTCATGAAAACCTTCCTTTGTCAAAAAGCAGAGAGAAAGGGCTGCAGAAAAGGCTCTTATTAATTCCATTATGCACTTGAATAGTTCAGTTTTTTTCATCTCTCACATTTATGAGATCACTAAAATATCATTGATTAGGGTGATGGCTTTAAACTTGGAAGAATCCTACTTAACAGTGAATTTTTCATCAACCTTGCATTTGACCTGATTAAATTCCTTTCTTTTCTTTCTTTTTCTCTTGATTCCCAAACTCAAAAAGGGTCATATCTCTGTAGCATAGAAAAATCAAAGCAGTAAAAACTACAAAGTGTTCAGGTAATGAGAAGAGAGAATTCTTTAGAAAGGACTGCTGCCTGTTGAAGACCATAATGATTTTTCCTATTCTGTATGGTTTTTTTCTCCTATAACCATTATTGGAATATCCATGACAGTCCTTCCACGTTTTTTTTTAATTTATATGCTGTTCCATAAGGATCGTTGGCCAGCAGGCCATGGGGAAAGTTCAATAGCGCCTAAAAGATGTAGATATTGAAAACATTGATTTGTAGCCTAAAAAGTGCTGCTCTAGATGCAGGTGATTATGGTTAGATACCCTTTTCTTTTTGTTCATTCCTGACTACCAAAATTAATGTCCCCTGTAATACACCAGCACACCTTGGTTTGTAACCACTTCCCAGATATTGTTGGTTTAAAGTAAAAAAAAAAAACAACCAAATAACAACACATTAAGAAGCCCTTAATCAAGAGGGTTGATTACAGGAGAAGTGGAATCAACAGAAGAGATGGGGCAGAAATCACTGGAAGCAGTGACATGTGAAGGTTACAACTGTGACTGGAAACAATCTGATTATACTCTAACTCAGTTCTTATTCCAGCTCTATCACACAAGTCTTGCTGCCCTGTTACTGTTCTTTTGGATATTTTCCTCCCCACAGTAACATTCTCAAAGCTTCTCTGCTGTAAACTATGTGAAAAACCAGTAACATTCATGCAGAACTTGTCTATATCAAGCATTTGCCACATCATGGTATAAAATGCCAGGCAATGTAACCTTGAAGATATACATGTAAGCAATGCAATGTTTCCAATATAAATCTGGTAAAAATTTCACAAAACAAGTCCTTACTGCCCAGCAACCCACAGATGAGGACCTGTTATGGCCCACTTGCTGCCAACATTGAGTAGTCCCCAAATGGAGAGAATAAAGCTTAAAACCTTACATAATGAAGTAGAATTCCATCTAATATAAAATTAAGACAGTTGAATCCCCTCACTTTTCAATATAATACTACTATCTGAGATGTATGTTATGAAGTTATAAAGCGCATAAATTACAGAGTGCATAAATCTCCTCATGTTTTGGTTTATTAATGAATGAAATGTCTCCAGAAGTTAAGTCCCTGCACCTCTTTATCCAAATTTATGCAATACTTTGTTAATAACAACATAACTCACTTTCCACAGTTGTTGGCGGAAGTCTTGTCTGCTTGAAGTCAGGAAGCTGACATGAACAACTTAAAAGTTGCTGAATGATAGCTGGACTGATTTGCTTGAAGTGGTCTTTGGAAATGGAGGAAGAACCATTTTTCAAAAATATCTTCACAAGTTCATTGGCAGAGAAACAAACCTTTGTAGAAGAGTATACAGAGTTACTGAACATGTTGCATGTACCTGCATTTAATGTTGAGGATAAATATGGAATCTTAGAGGAACACAGGGTGGTACAACCCAGAAAAAACTTGGGCTTTATATACTCTTTTTTGATTAAATTAGTTTAATTACTTCAATTAATTCCATTTTTTTCCAATTAAACTTGATGCTACTATATATTTCAGAAAGACCAGAATCTTTGGAATGAAGCAGGGCAATATCTATGGAAGCTAGTTAATATCATAAGGATCTGACAAAATAATCTCTCTCAACCTTTTATTGTCATATGTGCTAAGAAAAATATTTTACAGAATATCACAGAATATGCTGAGTTGGAAGGGACCCACAAGGATCATTGAGTCCAACCCTTAGCCCTATACAGGACCATCCCCAAGAGTCACACCATATGCCTGAGAGTATCATTCAAACACTTCTTGAACTCTGTCAGGCTTGGTGCTGTGACCACTTCCCTGGGGAGCCTGTTCCAGTGCCCAACCACCCTCTTTTTAATGTTAACACAAATCATATTCTTAGTCATTAATGCAAAACTTCATTGTTTGCAATAATAGTGCTATTAATATAAGATATTACATCAAAAGCAATACTTAGATTTGTTCTTGTGCTGGATCTTCAGTAAGATGTGGAAATACATTGGAGGTTTTTAATTCTTTAAATAATGGCATGTCACTTTAAGGTCAGCAAACTAGATGTTACATGGTCTAAATTTGGTCTAAAGATTGTTTAATAATTGTATTATTAGAGGTACTTCAGAATTCCAGCTGCTTTTTGTTCTTGTTTAGAATATCTCTTTGTCAAAAGAAGGATCTTTTTCTTGGGAACCTTTATATTTTGACAAATTTTCATGAAGAATTGCTTTTCCACCTCCAGGATAAAACTTCTAGTAAAAACATGACCAGTTAGCACTAGAACACACTTCTAGTGGAAATTTCTGTAAACGCTTTTAGAGGAGTCCAGATCAAATATGTTATCTTACTTAAAGGAATAATCTTCATTTCTTAATCTCATCTGATGAGTTGTGATTCAACTTAGAAAAATATTTTTTCTTTCATTTAAATTGGTCTACATCTGAGAATCAAGGGATTCCTAAATACTTTTTTCTAATCACTGAAGCTTACGCTTCTTTTGAAATAAAATTGCTATTTAAATTAATTTTTAAAAGAAAAGTTGTTAAATATAGTTACTTTTAAATAACCAACTAAAACCCAACACCTTCCTTCCTTTGCTGATCCATTAGTGAAGTAAAATATGCCTTAAAGTTCACTAAGAAGCTGAATTAATCGAGCACTGATAAATTTATTCTGAAAACCACATTAAAGTCTTCAAGATAACAGATGATTTTGTCACCTGGACCTACTGTGTTCTGCCTTCAAGCCAAAGGAGAGCATGAAGACAATGAAGGAGCTACCATATTGGAAAAGACCTTAATTTTGCCTATTCTAGGCAGAAGTTTTGATGCTAGAAGTAGGGAACATCAACATCTGGTATCAAGTTGGTGGTTATCAAGCTGTTGGTTGATTACAAGCAGCATTGCTGACCAGTCACAATAGGAATGATATTATTTAACACCTTCACTAACAAGTTGAGTGATGGAGCAGAGTGCACCAGATAGCACCGACAGCTGAAATCCAACTGGACAACTAGTTGTATGCTGACTGGCATGGCTGCTGTTTAGAGGGTTCTTGACAAACCAAAGAAATGGGTTGACAAGACCTTCATGAAGATCAGCCAAGACAAATTTATTGTGCTTCAAACGGAATAACCCCATGCATCAATGAAGGCTGGGGAAAACTGACCAGAAGGAAGGTAGGTTTGTAGAAAAAGCCCTTGGGGTGGGTTCTGACAGATGGCTTGAACATGAGCCACCAGTGTGCCCTGGTGGCAATGACCACTAACTGCACACTGGGCTGCATGAATTGTCCCTGGGGGACACCACTTGTGACCAGCTGCCAACTGGATGCAGCACCGTTCACTATCACTTGCAAGCCCCAGCCTTTTAAGCTTTCTAACATAGAGAGGCAGAGCACTAACTCTCCGTTAATAAAGCAACTATGTGTGTACTCCTGGAGGATGGTACTGAAGAAACAAGCAAATAAAATTTGCATATTTTCATGTGAAAAACTGAATGGATGGATGATTTTGGTTTGCAAAATCCATGTTTGTTTCATGAGAAATAGTAAAGGAATACAGATATTGTGACACAGTTTAATGGAACTTCAGATCATTTGTCTTATTAGATCACCTGCTACTTTCTTGTGTTATACACATTTTTTAAATGTAGAGACAATGACAACTTAAAAAGAAAGCAATGGCATTTTTCCTGCGATAATGTTTCAAATAATGATTCCTATCTAAAAATTAGATTACAGATCTTAATGTAGTTAGCAAACACAAGCCATAAAAAAGCAAATTCCTTGTATGTAGCAGAATCTGTCACTAACGGAGCACAATTACTATGATAAGTGCAGAAAACATGGGACAAAATCAGCAACACAACAGTGAAACACGAAGAGTTCTAATGAAATATGTCAAGGAAAATAGATATAGTTAGAAAGAAGAGGAATGGAAAAAAACCCCAGAGAATCTAGGAATTAATACAGAAGAGCAATTATCTTCTCTCCAGATGTTTCTTAGTGATTTTTTTTTCATATATACAGAATACTTGGTTCTCAGTTGACTGTTCAGATAACTCCCCTAGATACTTATCTTTTGAGCTACAGTCAGTATCAGAAGTTCAAGAAATCAAACACTGAGGTTCATAAATTCTTCTATTACTGGAGAACAATTTTTCTTCTTTTACAGACAGTGTTACAACTGATTTCTGTCCTTCCTAGTTTAAAATTTATATGAAACATATTTAAAATGACCTTAATTTAAAGTTATTTTGAGACCCCATTAAAAGCCTCATCATGTGATCAGCATGATTCTTTTTTGTGGGCAGCAGGAAATAAAGAAATCTATTGATAGAGTATGCATTTCACATTCCATAAAATTACACAGATAAATATCTCTCTGAATGGCATTTAACCAGATGCAATTTGTCTCAGTTCCACATCATATAATGACCACACAGCAAAAGTCAATTGCACATCACTCATTCTCCTAAATGGAGACTAAACATTGTCACTGAGTTAATGTAAATTGTAAAAAATTGTAAAAAATAGAAATGTCTCCTTTGTAGTATATATTTCAAATGTATACATCAAAATATATACCATTTATTTTTAAATTCTTAGGATAAGGATAAATTCACCTGCACTGAGTCTTCAAAGTCCTCAAAGGGGATACTGGGTAGTAGCTAGGACTCTGTCTTACAGACTCTCTACTTTCTAAAGAAACCTTCTGGATTCCATAGACAGCTATTAAAAGAGTTTGGAAATGCCCAATCTTCAGTTTACAGAAGCCTTTGAAAAGCAACTTTCATAGAAATAATTTACTTTGTTTTCCTTAGTACAAAACAACCCTTCTTTCTACCAGGTCACTTAAGGGGGTCTAGAAACTCTATGACATAAGAGCACAAGAAATGTCTCATAACTGTGTGAAAACACTTCAGTCATATTACTACAGTCATCTGTAACTATTCTGTTAGCCCTTCCCAGCTACATTAATCACATGGTAAACATCCAGAAAGTTCTTTCCCCAATTAATATTTAAACAAATATAACTATATAAAAATATATTTCCATCAGTATCAACATGACTTTTTGAAACTAATACATTTTACCTCAGAAGTTATGTACTGTTTGCAAAACAATTTGAACTTTTGTCACTGAAATTCTGTGACCAACACTATAATAACAGAAAAACAAATTAACCTGGTCCCAATCTGTGTTCCTTTCACGATCTTCAAAATAGCCTTTCAGAGAGTCTCCTTTTGTATGGTTTCCTTTGAATGGACTATTTTTTCTTCCAGTATCTCTGATTGCCATACTGTAACGTCTTCTTTTGTGACTGTGGAATTGTCCATTTACAGTGCAGGTCTTTTTGGCTGTAAGCACATTTAGTAGTTGTTCTAGTTCTAGTAATTCATTAGAAAACAGATACGTTACCATGGGAAAACACACATTTAAAAGATAAAACCAAAAAAATTATTAAAATTTTGTTAGTTATAACATTTATTCTATTCCTCATTTAATACTCTTTTCTCAGTTTGGTACTGGAGGCAATTTATACTTAACAACTCTAGAAGTTCAAGACACCTAGATAGTCAGCCTTTCTTGTTTTACATGCCCCACTCAGATGTTTTGCCTATGACTGACTCAGAAGAAAACAGATGGGACTGAAAGGCAATTCATCTTTCATTTATTCATCAATCTCTTACAAAGTTATCTAGTTATTGCTAAAGAACTTCACTGTTCTTAAAATTTTCCTGTGTAAATGGAACTCCACACTAAGTCATCATGGCCTGGTATTCAGATCAGAAGACAGATCCTTCATAGGGTGTCCTGAAATCAATCTTCAGGACACTGTGCTGCTCTTGCATTTCAGAAGTGGAACACAGGACAGCAGATTTTCACTCTTCTTTGGTTAATCAAGAAGCATGCCTGCTCATAGCACTGAAATAGGAAGGAGGGAGTCAGGATCCCTAATCCAAACCTGAGATAATGCAGGGATGTACGCCATGACATAGTTTAAGTTCAAGGTGTGCTTCTGGTGATGAAATTCTTGGTTATTTGAGGGGGAGTACCTTATCCTATCTTACTTATCACCTTCCTTACCCCCTCATTTTTAAATAAAACCATAGTGATAGTTTCTGTAAACCTTAGTTTGTCCATTAGAAATGAAAGCAGCCCACAAACTGATTTCAAAGGAGCTTAGGCCAATGAGAATAAGAAAGTTTCTATGTGATAATCCTTTAATGTTGCTAATCAGAAAATATAAATGCTATACTCTTAACAGTAAATCTTACAAAAAGGCTTCTGATATGATGTTTGACTACTTTTTTTTTGGCTACTTAAGCAAACAGATCTGCATATCTACACTGAGGTGTGAGTTACTAAGACATCTAATCTGGTTACGGTACAAGAATTATCCCATCTATCCCTAAAAGAGTCCTGCAATGTATGAAGATCTGCATAAAGACTTAATGTAAAAGAAGTCCCAGTGAACTCTGCCCTCACAGCTAGATTGCCACCCTCAGAGCTCTCTTGGGTAGTTCAGACGGTGCTGTGCAATTCATTTATAAATTATTGTTGAATAAAATGTAATAATCTCAGTAGCAATTTGCTTTATACCTCTCTGACAATTATCAAAATAAGGAGTTTCTCTTCCAACCTTCTTTTTAAATTTAGAAGAGACTACTTAACAACTTTAAAATGAGGACCTAAAATGAAGTGCAAAACAGTCATTTAGGCACTTAAAGATAGTTTGCACAAAATCTGTCTTGCAAAAGGCAACTAGAGATTAATAAATAGCTTACCTGTCACTTGGAGCTCAGTGGTACTGTTTAGAGAACTGAAGATATATTTTATAAAGAATTCTGGGGAAGGCAAACTTGCTTTCCCCATGCAGACTCCCTGGAGAGCCAGAGTAATGATTAAAGCAGCCAGGCGTGGTAGAGTGTTTTCATCGGCACCATCTCTGTCCGTTATATCAGCATTTTTCTCCAGAGTGCTCACATCAACACACTGAAATCAGGAGAAAACAGCATGAAGACAGCCCTGGTCACCTTCATTTAAATAATCGGAGTGACAAAAGGAGAAACTGGGGAGAACATTTTCACAGACAGCCAGAGTAGAAAAAATTAAGATTGAAGTTGTAATTGACAACAGGTCAGTGAAACAAAGGACATTTTCATGAAAACAGACATAGAATTAAAAATCCTGAACTTTTATTCTGTGTCTAGTGGGGAAGAAATACAGTCCTTCATTCAGGTTATTTATGGTTAGTGTTATTTTCACTTAGTGTTATTTTCATGCCATTTCTATTATTCCAGTGTCCTCAATTACATCTACATCTACTTCCAGAAAGTGGCAGAAAAAGGAGGAATTTTCATTAAGGCACAGGAAATTGACTTAAATAATATAGATTTTAATTCTTCATCTTCTTCATCTTAAACTTCAGTGAGAATTCTCTAAATGTTTTTAGTTTCCTATATATTAAATGGAAACAATATTTTGTTATGGAGTAGTTATCTGGGGACAATATGGAAAGATATAATTTTGCAAATAAATAGTGACCAAAAAGGAACAATAGTGAGTGGTGTACAACCATGCGTGTGGATGTCTGCAGGTCTGTCTCCATTACCTGGAAACTCATCCCTGTTTTCTTCCATTTTTGCCTTTCTTCTTACTTTCTTTCTTACTTCACACATTAGGGTTTGAAAGAATACAAAAACAATACAACAAAGGCAAAAAATATTTCTTTCTAACTCATATTAACTAAACTAAAAAGACAACTAGATGAGCAAGTACAGCAGTCATTTATTTTATTCATACTCATCTCTCTGTCTGTAGGCCATAAACACTGCAGAGAGGATGTTGGCTGGCATTTCTTTTCCTGTTCATTCATTACACATCAAAATTTCCCCAACCCAACATTTAATCCCTCATTTCGAATAAGATATTAGGTGTTATGAATGAGAAGAGGATATTTTCTGTGAAAACAAAACACATAGTCACTAAAAATTCTTTTCTTCTATTACTACCTTGCATCATTGGTCCTTTTTCATAACTCAGGTGCTGTGATTCTAAGTATTATGCTATTATGTTTTGAGTACCTTTCATAAAAAAACCCTCTTTTCCCTCAGGTCAGTGAGTGGTGAAGTTTCAGTTACTGGACAGGCTTGAGAACTGATTATACTGCCAGCATAAGCAAACAGAATCCACAGTAAAGCACTTTCTGGGTTGTTATTCTATCCTGACATTCCAAATACACACTGATGCCTCTTTACAGTTGCTCAGATACCATTGGAGTTCTTGGAAATCAGCACGTTCACCAAGACTCAAAAACAAAAGTAGTGGTCAATGAATAATTTATGATGGGAAATGTTTACATAAAGAAGACAGAAAGAGGAACTGGAAGGCCTCGATATTCTGGACACAGCCAGCACTCCTACCCATCTTCTGTTTGTGCAGAAAACTCTACTACAGTATAATGTAAATTAAAATCAAATTACATGAAAAAGAAAAGGGCAAATTCAAGCTTTGCAGTATACAAATTTAACTTAACATTATGAACAGATCTAAGGGGCTGCAAACAGGAGGTCAATCTGCACTTCAGGAGTTATCTTAACAGACAAAAAGCTATTTTATTGCCCATTACAAGGAAAACATTTTTTCTTAGATTTTGAACTCTAAAATATTATTCTATTATTGTAGACGTAAGGAATAATACTTGAGGTAAGGAATAATAAACAGCAATAAGAAAACTCACTGCATGTTTCCTGACTCTAGTAAGGATGATCTTAGCTGAAAATACTCAGTATGCTTTTTTTTTTTTTTTCTAACTTTAAGCTTATCTGTATCAATCTTTCTACAAGGTATATCTGTGCTGGTAGATAATTAGTCACAAATGTATGTGTTCCAACTGAAGGAAACCATCATTTGGATAGATTCCTTATTCCATCCTGCTTTGGATGGACATGGAAGTGTAGAACCTGGCAAGGATTTCATCATAGCATAATGATTCGTTACTTCTCCTGTACAGCCAGATCAGTTGTGGAGCTATTCTGCTTTATACCATTTAAATACAATCACTGCTAGTGTATACATATGTGTATATATATATATATATACACACTATAAAATACTAAGAGATGAGAAAGTATTTTCTGTCCTTGGAGCCAAGTGCAAGATCTTGCATCTACACAGTTATGCTCTTTTCCATCTGCTTTAAGCTGGTCAACTGCATCTAAATTACCTATTGGGAATGGTCCCTGATATGCAGCATCTCCCTAACCATGTCTCAGCAGACCCTGTGGAAGTGCTAGGTAGTCAAAAGCAACTCAAGGAAAAGGTTAACATTAAACAGCATGTATAGCAAAACACCAGTGTTCAGCCTGTGCTCTCACACTGTTATTTATGGTTTTCTGGCAGACCATGATACTGACACAATGTCTGCACTAACATATAGGCATTATATCAGCAGTAAATATGAAGCTATATTTACTTATGTTTTCTTTACCTGGGTTTCAGAAGTTTTAAAATGTTGCCTTACTGCAGTTAAAATATCTTCAGTTTCATTCCGTGAAAAATAATAACAGTCTTCGTCATGTCTTAAGCTAAGCATACTCTGCAGGTAAAATTTATAATCCTTGTTATTCAAGCTGAGTTCTGGAGAACATACATCTCTGCGATGAAGAATGTAGTAGAGAAGAATAAGAGAAATTCTCTCAAATACTTCTTCACTGAGATGGTCTTCTAAATCTCCTCCAGCTACTAGCAACAAAGCATCTGGTTCAAGGCACTGTGGAGAAATAAAAATACATAGAAATTCAACTCAAGTAACACACTGTCAGGCATCTGCAAATACAATTAGGAAGGACAGAAGGAGAAATCAACTTTTATATTCAACTACACAGATGCAGGCTGATGGAATGGCAGGAAGAAGGTACAGGTAATTCATTGCAGTTCTGTGGCCGCAAGATCACACTCTGGTTTTTTGTCCAGTGCCACTTTTGTTTTTAAGAAATATCCCAGAGATGGGGCTTTGAGCAACCTGGTCCAGCGGAAGGTGCTCCTAGTCATGGCAGGGGGGTTTGAGGTCTCTTCCAACAGAAATCATTCTATGAGTCTACTCTGTGGGTCAATGATTTGATGATTTAAGACTCACTACAAATTAGGACTAACTCTGATCAATCATTGTAGAGATTAAAAGCCTTCCACTGGCTTCAAAAGATTATACTTCTTGTTATAAATATATTAGACAAGGGTTATTAGGTAAGGCTATTCATATTTTCATCTGTGCATTCTACGTCGTAAGATGAAAACCATAGTTAACTCAGGGTATGTAAACAGAAGTTACATCATATTTGATGCACTGTTGAAAGAATTAATTGACCCTGTAATCACACAGCTATTTTTATGTTTTTCTTAATTAATTCTGTTAACTGCAACAATGCAATACAGTGCAGAGAGCCAGCACAAGGTCTCAACACCATTTAGTCCTTCAAATACATTTCAAAAGGGACTGAGATTATGTACTCACCCTGTCCAGACTTTCTGTCTGAGCACAGTTTTTTTAATACATGTATATATACACATGTATATTTACATATGTCTACATAAACCTCATTTTTTTTATACAAAGACAGTTTCCAGAAACTTTTGCCAGCTCAAAACCAAGTTAGTCTTTAAAATTAGACAAGAAGACTAATAGAGGTCTATGTTAGGCTGTGAGAAATAAGATACTGAACTCCAGAATAAAGAATCTTCCTTGAAGAGATCCTGTAATTAATGTCATTCACTGTTTATCTGTTTTTTTCCAACAGACTCCTTTCCAAGGTGTGTCAGCTAATCTCAACCATTATGGTAGATTAGCCAAACTGTACATTTCAGGGAAGAAACTACAACATATGAAGGTACCATTGAAGGATCAACACTGCACTCTAATAAATTCATGCATACATACAGAGTCTAGTTTTTCAGAATAAATTGTTTGTGGCTACCAGCATGATATGTTGGTCAGTGTGGCTCACTCTATATGTTAGTTCATTTTTCTGCACTGAAGTTGGGTCAATGAAACACACAATGGTGTGTTCAGAATCCAGTGTTCCTTGGAGGGACTGAGAGAACTGCTACTTTTTAATATAAATAATTCTAACAAAAATTCTCAAAATACTGAGTCTAAAAAAAATCCCAAGAAAAACCCTGTGGATATTAATATCTAAATTAACTATTTATACTCATAAATTAACTAGATTGCAGTATACTCTGGTGTGTCCTGCTTACATTGCCTACCAAGGTCTGTAAGTCTAACTTTTTCGAACACACGTCTCTGAGAATTAGTATTTGGGCTAGGAGAAATATGGCTGTTCTGTTTTCTGTCCCAAAGACCTCAAGTTAGTCAACCAGCCTTTATGAACACTCAGTACAATAAGCACACTGCATGTAGTGGAAGATTTTCAAAGATTTCTGTAAGAATTCAAAATCCAGGGAGGGTAAATTGTAATCAATGAAGCCATTGTTTGCTCTTGCAAGGAAGATGACTAAAAAGAAAATTGCTAATTGGAAGGAAGCAGGTGCATTGTAAAAGATGCAGTTACTCCACAGTATATGCCTAGCCATGGAGAGTGACTCTTGAAGAGATATTAAGAGGATATAAATTGGTTCATCAATGGTTTGGTTTTGTTGTTTTTTTTCTGCTACTAATATTTTAAAGGAATAACATCTGCATGTCCTTGATTTAGAGATTCTTATTTGCTATAAAAGAGAAGCCCAGAACGTGGGCAGTGAACTCTGAGTTTCTTTTGTTTAAGGGGCCAGTTCAGAAAAAATTGTCTTACCAGTGCAAGAAATATGTAACTTCTGTGTGCTTAGGAAATAAAGAAGTGTCAGATGCCACTCAATAGCTGCCAGCTCCTGGCCAAAGAGTCTTGGGGCCAGTATGTAAAAACAAACCAAAAGAAGTCTGAAAAAAGTGTTAAAATTTCACCGCTTTTAAATGCCCATTAGAGACATCATTAAAAATAATAGTTAAAAAACTTTGAAAACAAAGTCGTAGTATAAACAGAATCCTGGATTTAGAAGAGAAAGTTGAATCTGAAATCAATTAGTGATTCCCAAAAAGTATGAGAAAAAAAATGCCAAGTTAAGGTGGGGCATTCTGTTTCAAATTTTGATGATCTTGAAGGATAGCACTTCTTGCAGAGTTTTTGCTGTCTTGGTTTACCAAACCTTGTTAAATCATCATGGAAGATTTAAGCACAGGGCCATGTGGGCTCCATGTGACTGAAGATGCCATGTCTCTCATGGATTTCCTATAGGCAACTGTGTTCCTGTGGCACTGGCACAGAAACACTGGCAGTACAGGATGTGTGCAGTGTTTCTGACTCAGCCAACACCGAGGAGCACTGGATATGGTGAAAGTCCTCAAATTCTTCCCACGGGAAATTTCCAAGATGAAGCCTAAAGAGAGCGGCCACACTGACCAAAGTAAGTCCCAGCTAAGTTTCCCTTAGTTTTCTTCTATCCAAGGTCATAGTGGGAGGACTCTCCACAAATACAGCACAAATACATATGGAAAAAATATGCCAAGCAAGAGAAGAAAAACAAAGAGAACAAAAAAAACCTAGAACCCTGTTTTGTGAAATTTAGGAGGAACCGTGTTTAACACATTCTCAACTTTTGATCTGAGTCTATATCTGATACATATCTGTTGCCCATATGTGCATAATCTCCTTCATAAAAAATATATATCCATTTAGGCATCTACGTTACTTATGTACAAAATTTTGCATTTGGGTTCATATGAGAAATGGGAGCATTTATTGAAAGGGTCAATTATGTAAGTAGCTGTCTACTGCACAGGATAAAAAGATCGCCAGTTCTTTGGCTTGGCAGATTGCCAAGAATAGTACCTCATGAAAGCCTTCACCTTTATGACCACCCTCATTATTGTGGTATAAAGTGAGACTCTGCTCTATGTAGGTCACTGAACAACGGTGCCAGAGCCAGAATAATGTCATTGAAAGCCAAGACCGACCAAGCCCTTTGTCGTCCTTTTCAGCGAATTGCCCACTTAGCACTGTGTCTGTCCTTTCTTCATTGAATCATGAATCAGTTCTGCAAATATTCTCAACTCAACTAGACAACCAATCCTTCTGTGAAACTGTACCCTGGACTATTTCCAGTTTTAATTTGGATTTGTAGATTCATTGTTCTGCCTTTGATTTTCCTTGACCTGAACTGCTTACCAAAACCCTCCTCTAAATCTTGAATGATTCAGTGAGGTGGCACATAAATCTGAGACAATCCTGTCTGGGTTTTATTTTTATGAAGTAAAAGCAAAAAAAAAAGCAGAACTGGTCCCCAGTGTTTACCTGTCTCTTTCCACGGTGGAAATCTTGTGCCTAAAATTCAAACTCATGCTTTATTGTTAGATCAGATTTAAGTAGAAAAATTTTGGTTGGAAAACAAACATTTAAAAACTTCTAAAGGAAAATTATTAGTGTTATGTGACTGAAGCTTGGCATTTTTAAGGAATGCATGCCATGTTTGGAATATCTCTTCATGAGCTTAAGCAATAAATAATAATTCAAAATTAAAAAAAGCAGGGACAATTTTTTTTTTCTGCAACAACAAGATTTTTACATGTTTAGGTTCTGTATTCAGGACAGTATCACTCTAATAAATAATGTTAGAACTCACTGACGATGCTGTAAAGATATCCTTCATTAATTGAAGCACTAACCATATTACAATCCTCTTGCATGCCATAAATCCGCTGTGGGCATTCAGCTCTCTCCAGCAACATTTTGACCAGTTCTCGTGAATGGTTCATGTGGAGCTCAGTGTTTTCAGCTGAAAGAACGCGTAAAACTTCCATCAGATAGCCTCTGCTGGGAGCATAGCTGCCATCCTGCCCATGCTCTTCCCCAGGCTGTCCTTCAGCAATGAGCACGCTGAATATGAAAGCAGAACATACCACCCCAAGAGCTGAAAGCTTGGTCAGAAAACACATCTCCTCTTCTTGCAGTCAGGGATCTGCACTGAATGTTGGATTGTTGTTTGCACTTCAGAGCTTAAACAGGAAACCTGAGGAATCTGAATGGTAAAGGGGAAAAAGAAACCCCAACCCCTTAATTAGTGTGAATGCAATATGTTTGAAAGGATTTATTAATTGGTCGGCTAAGCTGATTTGCAGTGACAAGCTGGTTTTGAACAACAGGGAGCCTGTAAGGGCTTTACAGCATGGAACAGCAGGAAACTAAGACAACCATGGCCTTAAAACTTCTGTAGAATTACCAACAAGAGGTCGTCTGAAAGTGCCCTTCCCTCCTCTTAAAAATAAAGTGTATTTCTTTCACTTTAGTGTTATGTTACTGTATTCACTAATAATTCCTTTTGGTAAGAACAGGAAAATACCATTGCTTTCACTTTCATTCCATTATGAAACAGGTTTCTAGTAGCAAAAATAGCTGTAAATAAATATTAGCAGTGTAATACTGATATGAATGTGCAGTAATTATGTTACATAGCAATGATAGAGAGCAGGTTATATTTTCAAAACACTTTACCAATGTTACTAAACTCCAGCTGTAGAGCACAAAACAAGAATGAACAGGACATACTTAAAAATTAGTCATGTTTTGTGATCAGATGAAAGAGTTAAACGCTGAGGTCTTAGTTTCACTCAAAGAACTCAGTGAGTAAACAAGACAAACACACCCCAAGCAACAAGTTTAACTTGTTAACTCTAGGTGCAAAAGACATTTTGTGCTATAAATCTGTCTTGTCACTATCCTTCCTAATAAACCACCACCTCTGCTTTAACACTAATCTATCTCAGTAGCTAATCACAAGAAAAATGAGTTTCACCTCTGTTTTCCACAGAGGTTTTGATTTTACTGATGGGCATATGCTGGCAGTGACATGCATACCCAGATAATAATGCACATGTGCTAAACAGCTACACATACATTCACTTCTTCTATCTGCAACATAAGACGTGTGTCTTATTTTTAAGGAACCCCTGCTAACAAAGTATTTAAAATGAAAAAGAACGACTGAATTCAAATAGGCATTCACTCAGATAAAGGCTAAATGTTAGGAAATCCTTTGGTCTTTAGATATATTTTACTGTTAGCAGTTAGGAATATGTATCCTTGTTACAAGGATGTTACAAGCTTTTATTTCTAAATGTTATTTTCTTACCTTCTGAAGGGAAAAAGAATGCTCGTGTATCTAGCTTTGTGGCCTTCTGAATCCTCAGAAGTATTTAGCTGCTGGAAGTCCAATGTTTTTAAAATTCCTTGATGGTGCTCTGGAAGTTGGAGAGGATTAGTTTATTGCTGCCTTGAAAAGTTTTCAGTTGCTATGGAGAGAGCTGCTCTTAAGGTAACAATGGAGGTGGATAGGAATTAGTACATGTTCTTCTTGGCAAGTTCTAAGCATCGCATTGTTGAAGGTATTTCACATATTTTAGTAGTTATCATTTTATGTAAACAGTATTTTAGCAGTGCGAGATGCATAAAATTATGAAAGAATGTATTTCATTACGGTGGATAATACATGCAAGCACTCAACTGTTCTCTACACTACTAAATTATCTGATCAAATCTACAACAACCCCAAATTTCTTTTTTTATTAAAATATTACTACTTTTCGAAAATGCGAGAACAGAATAGAATAGAAATCTTTTCAAGCACCTCCATAGAAAAATTATATTTTTTGTTTGCAAAACACTGCCTGTAGAGAACAGTCTCTTTCATCCCCACTTATTCTGTGCTGCATTTGCACTAACTAAAAAACTGGGATAGCTCAGACTGCGGTGAAAAAAAATTTCTTTCACCCACTCAGATTTTCCAGAGGGATGCTGTTGGCATTTAGCTCACCATGCCATTACAATATCATTGCGCTGGAAGTCAGTGAAAACTGTCACGGCTGACAGATTTCCCCAATGACAGGTACACCAGTCATAGCATTCTCCCACCTTCCAAACCTTCAGTGATATTATGAAGGACTATCAGCTCAGCTGGCTCAACAAATCCTGTGAAGCAGAAAGCCTGTAGTAATAGAAACACCATAATTCTCTTTAAATCTAGATTGACAAAAAAATCCTGGGTCCTAAACTGTATGTAATATCTCCTATAAGGTGGTGAACTCAAAGGGAACAGCCTGAGAACTGACAATGGATACTGACTATAAAAAATTAAACTGTTAACACCAGCTTGAAGGAAGAGAAAAATGTAAAGAAATGTTCTCAAAAATACAAAGTACAACTGCATAGAAGTATGCACAAATTCTTGTGTGACCAAGGTTGAATATTTTAAAAATAAGTCCTATGATTATTCTTTTATTTTACTTCATAAATTACAAACTATATTTATCAAACTAACATTACTAAATATGCAACTTTATGTAAATGAGAATTACAGAATTTTTTATATAAAAATTTATTTTTATATGAAAGACTGAAAAGAAGAAACACATGATAGTATGCATGTTCCCTGGCTATTAAATAATATGCTCTATCAAAAAAAGCTAACCAGATCCAGATTTGTTCCACTAATAAAAATAATTCCTGAGATAATGGAGGAATAGCTTCCAGCATTTAATTCTGGGGATTGCTCAATCTCCAAATAAACATAAAATAGGTTTATCTGTATATAATTTGGTGGTTTGTATATAATTAGAAATTGAAACTAAGAATTCATTCCATCCAATTAAAGTGTACAAACAGTGGGAGAGTTGTTTCAGTTTACTGAGAGAAGCTAACATTTAAAAACACATTTGATGATTTATAGCTATTGAAAGCTGCTGAGAGATTTACATAATAATAATGGCTACAACTTTAACATTTGTATTACAGACTGATGGTAAAAAAAGAAAACATTCAGTACATTAAAATGTAACAGATAATATTTGATACATGCTATTACAGCTGATTCAAAGGAGAAAGGAGAATTCACTTCCCTTTTTATGACTAAGTGTTGCAAGCCTTCTCTGGCTTGGAAATGAATTTCTCAGTGGTGGCGAAATCACTGATGGTGACTCAAGGCTCAGCTTCCGCTTTTACCCTTGACACTGTGATTTCAGTCATGCCATTGTCATCAAAGGATTATTCTGTCTACACAGCACTTGGATTACTACTTTTGAAGTAATTGCTGGCATCAATCGCTAAGTCCTTTTTTCAAACCCTTCAGTAGCAGCATTATTTCCCTACCAGCTACCCATCCTGAAGCTGTGCCAACTGATAAAGTGGGACAGCAATAATGACTGAGCTGTGTAGTTAGATGCCCCTTAGAAGTTTGCTAAGATACACACACAGAAAGAAATCACTGGTACAGTTTAATGTCTTAAAACCTCCCAAAGAACCTATCACTATTAATGTTGTCTTGTGTTACAAGACTTTACCGTTTTGGCTCAAATTTTATTGCATGTCTTTTGCTGAATTTTAATAAAGGGGAAAAAAAGTTCATGCACAATGCTCATAAACTAAGCCAGAGACCCTCTATTTAGTGTAGAATGATAACATGCTTGTAAGAAAGAACTTTAAAAGGAACTTGAGAGTTGGGGTAACTCAAATTCAATAGCTTACCATTCTAACACGACAACAGACTCTACATGGTAAAACCAGAGTTATGACAAACTTCCTGATTAAATAAGCAACTTAAACATTTTTTTTTAAATTATTCCATTCCATTATTTATTATTGGATTCTACACTACACAAGGTACTTAAGTACCTTAGCATGATCAAGCAAGGATCTGAGCTCAAGAATTTGTAGAGATAATATTTTTTAATTAGTTTGAACAGTTACCATGGTAGGGTACTTGCAAGAGAGTAACTAGTGTTGTTGACAGACATATGTCCCAGTTAAAATATGTAACAGAAGAAATAAGATAAAGAGTGATAAAAATGGTAACTTCATAAAACTCTTATTTTTATTTCACAATTGGATTCATGATCCCAAACAACTGCATATGAGATTTTATCCACGTACAGATACAATTGTTTGTATTTAGAAAGCTCATATAGTATCCTAACTTCCATTCTCAGTGAAAAGGAATGAAGGGAATTTTCAAATGGCATAAGTAGATGTAGAGCATGCAGCAAGCCCTCTTTGGTAATAGGATTTTTATTTAGTTAGTTTTAAGTGAACCAGTAAGACTTACTGCAGCTTATCTTGTTTCTCCCATCCTTGCACCTGCTGCAAGAACAAAAGCAAGTTGCTCCTTCACAAATGCCATGGATAACTCCACTCTGCAATTTTCTGGGTTTCAAAGGATTGGTGAATAAATTATGTAGGAACAGAAAGCCTCTTTAGAGAACTCACTCTGAGATGACAAGGACATTCCCATGAGCTCTACCAACATGACAAATGTCTTAATTTTATTTGCACAGTAGAATGGGAGTGGATATAGGCATAATTTTAGCAAGACCCCTGTTGAACTTCATATCATACTGAGAAATGCAGCTATATAACTCTTATTCCTTCAATAGTGTGTAACTCTTTTTGATGAACTAAGCAAATGCCTTTTTTACTTTTTACTAATCGCAGCAATTACGGCAAATACAAGAGAATCCTCTGGTACTGCAGATTTCCTCCATGTTATTAATGTGATGTGTGCACATTGTATAATTACAGCCATAGGCAGCATATTGACATATGAAAGAACTACATTTTGCGTGTAATTTGTGTAGAATTTCAATATATAAAGCATCTATGCCAATGAATCAATGCCAGAGCACTGTAATAAAAAATGTCAGTACTTTAAAATTACCAGTCAATTAAGCTTCTTTGGCATCACATGTCAATCCAACAATATTGCATATATTAAGGTTGCCAATGAATTAAAATAAATAAATGCTATTTAAATTATCTGAATTACATATATTAACATAGAGTTATATATATTAATATATGTGCCTGGAACTAGTCTTGTTTTATTTAAGGATTGCAAAATTCACCTGTTATTAGAAAGTTTTTCTTAGACTTGGAAATCTAGTTACATTAAAATAGAACAGAAAGAAGCCATAGATTACTTCCACTCTAGGCCAGCAAAGCCCTTATATTTTATAAAATATACCTCCAGAAGTGCCTTCTCACATATTACAGAATTAAGGTGATATTTATTGTCCTAAAATACTACTCTCATGAAAACTGAGTTTTTAAATTAAATTAAAGTGTTCATTTATATGGAAAGTGTAATCTAAAACTTCATTAATTGCCTCCATCTTAGTACAGACTTCTCCCTCACACAATATCTCTGTTGCTCACAATCTGGCTAAATTTAAAACAAACAAACAAACAAAAAAACCCAAAAAACATTGAGATGTAAAGGTAACTATCAAGACTATTCAATGATAACAATTATGATCAAGAACCTGAACACAATGAGAGATAGTAGTATCTTGGGCAAGAAAAAGAGGGGTTTTCATAAGGATGGATATGTTGTTGCTCATTTTTAAGTTTAAGAACACATGGGAAAAAAATGCTCTTGTGATCATCCTTAGAAACTTTATCAGTCTAACTTTATTGAAGGTATCTAAACATCAAAGTACAACCACCAAACTATCTAAGTCAGCTTCAGTTATCTCACCTCCCCTTATACTAAACAGATGCAGAAATCAGCTAACAAGCTTTTCACTGCCTATTGTGTTGTTTTGTCCTGGACTGTTATCAGAATATTATCATGTATACTTTTTTCCTGCTCCTTTAGGTTTCCAAAGAAACTGGGCTAAAAAACCAAGTTGATCTTTCAAGCAGTGTCTTATCCAGTCCAAAGCATTTACAGTCCAATTACGCGTGTTGAACTATTAATTTAAATATCTCAAATGAAATATTAGTATGTAGTAGAAATGTAGTATTACTGTATAGAACACCAAGTGATATTTTAATGGGAAAAAATAGGTTTTAAAATTGAAAAATAACCTTTGACAGTTATACTGTTCACCTTGCGGGAAACTGGCATGTATTGTATGTCGCATCTTCAGCCATTGACTTCTGACCCCAAAATATTGATTTGTTCCTTTCCTGCTGATACTCATCAACTTATGCTTGAAAAGCACTCAAATGTTCTTTATGTAATCTGCATGTTTTTTTCCTTTATGTAAATATTCATAAAATATTTATAAATAATTTTTACTATTAGAGAAATTGAGATAACAAGTGTTTACTCACATTACTTTTTGTTTTTCAAACTAAGACTCAGTGTTCAGTTGTTCTAAAGAAATTCTCACAATTGGGGGAAGGCATTGCAGGCAAACATCTGTTGCCTGAGAGAAGACTGATATTTGTCAAGATCTACTAGTCTACCTAAAAAACAAAAGAAAAATATAAGTTTCTGGGTCATGAATACAAGCCAGGATGAGGGGAGGGAAGACAGTTT